TTTTTTACTTTTGAGTTCTACAAGGTTCAATTGTCTAAATAACATTTTTTTCAAATATTTCATTTTTTTTTTTCAATTTTTACCAAAATAATGGTTGAATACCACCTTAAGCGCGAGGACATTTTTTTATAAATCTGTTTACACTTTACATCTTTACTGAATTCACGTTTTAGCTCATGATGATAGTTTTTTAGTATAAATGTTGCATAAATTTTTACAAAGCTCTGCCATTCATCAGCCAACATCTAAAATGAACAGTTTTACTTCTGAGAAATTTTATTAAAAATATCAAAACAAATTAATGTAAAATATGAAACATGAAACAACACAGTGGTAGTTTAATATCTACTTTTTATTGGTCTCTCTAGCTGTCATCGCAAATAAATCTCCTTCTCTTTACTTCTCAATTCAAAATATTTCAGTGCTTGTCTAAAAAATATTCAAACTTTCACAGCCACTAATTTAGCACCAACTTCTAAAATATCCCAAAAACAAATTGCAAATATAGAGAATACTCAAATGAATTTTAAACATATTCAAGATCAGCTGTTCGACACAAACTAAACACTTCTTACTTTGACTTGGACGAAGCCACTACCAAACGAAGCCACTATTTTCCCTAAAACATTTAAACTATGTTTTTTTTAGTTAATTTTCAATGTTTTATCTAAATATTCGTATTACCAAAACTTTGAAGAACTTAAAGTTCTACTAATCTAAACTTCAACTTTAGCCTAATTTGTTCAACCGAAAGCTGGATTTTAAATACAACATTTTATCAAAAATTCTAATTTTTTTTTTTTGCCAAATACAAGCTATTAGTTTTGAACATAAACCTTTAAAAACAAGGTGGTATGTGTGTCTATATGCTTGAAGACTTTACTTATAAAGTTAGATATGACCTGTCGTATTCTGAGCCAGATTTTGAATTTTTCACTTAAGAAATTTACAATAAACCATCAAAAAATATGATCGTAACAATTACACACCGATCACCAAATGAAAGTTTAAACTACTTCAAAAATCATTTAAATAACTATTTGAAATTTTATGCAAAAAATAAATAAATAAAGACAGCTCGTTTTTATTTGTTAGAGATTATAACGTAAAACAAAAATAAACCAACAAAAATTACGCACAACTGTTTTTCTGAAATCGACAATACTTTCACAAACAGCCTTTGCCATACTAAAATTAAATCAGGCATTATTAGAAGTGACATTACCAACCATTTTCCATTTTTTGCAATTTTAAAAAAATCAAAAGATTTACTAAAGAAAGATTCTTTTTTAAAAAAAGAATCATTATTACCCGAGGAAAAAATTTGTTTAAATTAAGTTGTATTTGTAAATTGGAATTTTCACGAGACATGTGCTTATAACAGCTACAGCCTTTTTCTGGAGAAATTTTTTAATTTGTACGATAAATGTTTACTTAAAAAATCAAACCGTTTTAAAACTAAAGCACTTCTTCATCCTTGGTTCTTTAAAAACTTCTTAAAGTCTTCGAAACTAAAACAAAAGCTTTATATACTGCTTTATTGATTGTGACAAACAAAATTAGTTGGAGCACAAACGTTTACAAAGAACTAAAAAACGTCTACACAGAACTAAAGAAATGGTGAGAACTTCATACTTTAAAAGTTAGCTATTAGAACTGAAAGATAACGGGATAAAAACGTAATATGCTATTATAGAGATTCTTTGTAAACAAAAGATACATAACAAAGTCTTACCAAGTGTGATTACTGTAGACTGTACGCAGAGATTTCTGACCTATCTACTAAAACTATGATTCTATTTTAGTTTGCAAAATCAAAAATTGCTATGGTTTTATCAAAGAAGTTTCATTAGATAATTTAAAAAAATTACTCAAAACAGATGTTTTTCCAGATAAACTAAAAATAGCAATTATTACATGCGTTTTCAAAACAAGAAGTAAAAATCTGGTTACAAATTATCGATCTATATCGTTAATATCTGATTTTTCAAAAATTATCGCGCGTATCATGTGTAATAAGTTATTTGTATTTTTGAATGAAAACAATCTTCTCAGAGAAGATTGTTTTCATTCAAATAGGGAAATACCATGACTAAACTCCCGTTAAGTAATTTAAACAAAAACCATATTGATTGCAATAGAGAAGTTCTCTATTGCAATCAAAATGTTTTTTTGTTAAACTACACAACGGAGCATGCACTTTTACAATTAGTTAAAGTTATCAGCGAAACATCTTTTCATAAAAAATTCAATTTAGATATATTTCTAGACTTTGACAGTTTTCAGTTTTGTTTGGACTGCAAAAATAAACTTTTACTTGTAAAAATATACCTAGGAGGAAAATCATCAAACAAAAGTTGACTGAGATTAAAAGTAAACATTTTAAAACATTTTACCACTCTTAACTGAGAAGTTATAACTTAACGCTCTAGAATAAATGTACCGCTCTGCGTCTAGTGTTGTTTTTTACGGGAGGCTGTATAAGCGCGAATTGGCATATGCGCGAACTGGCATAAGCGCGAAGCTTTGTAAAAACTGGCATAAGTGCGAACTGGCCTATGTGCGAATCGGAATAAGTGCGCCAAAACATTTTGCAAACATTAACATAAATGAAAATTGGTATAAGTGCGAACTAACATAAGTACGAAGCAGTTGCAAAAACTGGCACAAGTGCGAACTGGCATAAGTGCGAATTGGCATAAGTGCGCTGCACAAATTTGAAAACATTGGCATAAGTGCGAATCAGTTACAAAACCTTGTACAAATGCGAACTGGCATAAGTGCGAATTGGCATAAGTGCGGCGAATAGATTTGCAAATATTGGCATAAGCGCGAATTGGCATAAGTACGAACTGGCATAAGTGCGAAGCAGTTACAAAAACTGGCATAAGTGCGAACTGGCATAAGTGCGAATTTGCATAAGTGCGCCGAATAAAATTTCAAATATTGGCATTGCCGATTCGCACTTATGCCAATGCTTGCAAAATGTTATGGCACACTTATGCCAGTTTTTGCAACGCTTCGTACTTATGCCAGTTCGCACATATGCCAATTCGCGTTTATGCCAGTTTGTGCTTACGCCATTTGCACTTATGCCAGTTCGCAATTATGAAATTCGCGCTTATTCAGTCCCTCCCGTTTTTTATACTTATTAACTAACCGGTTATATTTTAATACTTTTTAACTAATGCTAACTTGTTTTAGTTGAAAAATGTTTAAAATATAAAAATTGATCTTTTTTTTCAGAAAAGTAACTATTTCCGTTTCGCGATGCTTAGTGTGGCGTTGCGAGTAATACTAATCCGCGGAAAGTTTGTCATTTTTTGTTGTTAAATTCAATCTAAACCCGCAATTAAAGCTATGAAACAAAATATTAAATAACGTACGAATTCTCGGCGCACAACTTAACAATCATTAAAGTTAAACAAAAAAACCATGAATGACGGAAAAAAACACATACTGAAACATTTTAGTTCCTGTGTTTTTAGTCACTATTTCAACTTATTGCACATCCTAACATCGGGTGCAATCCTGTCCGCTTTCTCTATGCTATCTTTCTAACACGACTTCTTCTGTCTTTCACTCTAACATATCTTCGTTCTTCCTAAACTCACTTTACTCTTGGTCCGTAGAGCGGGTTATGACGCTCCTTGGGGAGCCGAACCTGTCTTTGCGGTACCTTGGTAATGTGGCCTCTATATAGCAACTAGCCGGAGGAGGATAAACCACAATACCAACAAAAAAGCCATGAAGCAATTGCAACTAAAGTTTTTTTTATGTTAAAATTTTTTTTCACGTTAAATTTTTTTAAAAGTTACCAAAGCGACTCATTACTTGAAAGAAAACCATGTTTTCATAGTTTTTTGAACTGTATCTGATGGCCTACCTTATTTTATTGTTAAAAAAACTCAAAAAAAATATTTATTGTTTTTTATTTTTTTTAGGTGCCCCAAAAAAACCGCAGTGCTTGTCACAAAGCACCGCAGAAGTGCATATAACCAGGAAGTTTACGCCTCCTTCCTTACCGTGACGCGAAAATATGTCCAGAGCTCGTTTCGAACGTGGATCTCCTGCTTATAAAGCAGGCGCTCTAACCACTGCGCCACGGCTCTCCTGCTTATAAAGCAGGCGCTCTAACAACTGCGCCGCGGCCGCACACATAAAAAATATTGACCCTCCGCGACCTATTTTTTTAACCGTTTTTCAAAATTTTTAAAAAGTTGCCAAAACGACTCATTACTAGGAAGAAAATTTTTTCACAGTTTTTTTTTAACTATATCTGATGGCCAAAAATCTGGTGGCGTCGCTAGGTTAGTGTGTCAGACAGAGCGTTAAATTTTGGTGACACTCTTCTAGATTAATAGGTGAAAAGGAAAACGAAAAAAAAAATCCTCTAAATGTAGAAATTTTTTTTTAAAAAAAAAGAGAAAAAAATTAGGAAAAAAATTCTGGCTTATTTGCTTTTAATTTTGGTGTCACCCCTCTGTGTTACGTCGTGATGATGCCACCCAGTGCGGCCCGCACTCCCCTGGTGGTTTAGAGAAGTTGCATAAATGGTATCAAAACGAAATTCTTGTATATTTAGTGTGTGAACGAAATTCTCGCATAGTTATGGTATGAAGTGAAATTGAAATTGAAAAGATGCTTCTCCCAATAACTTCAAAAACTATGATATTCATTTTCTTAATTTTTTATAATCTTTTCTTTCACTTTTTTTAAATTTGAAGTAGATTTAAAATCATTTCCTTTATGAAAAATATCACAAAAGTTTACCCCCTAGAAATAGAAAACGCAAACTATTCAAATATTTTGATATACATCACTACATCTTTCATTACACACTACATCTTGCAAAACAATTATTTACTGTTAAATAAAATTATATAAAATAGCTTTTAAAATATTTAAAAATTTTACATGGAGAATTAATTATACAAAATTTATTTTATACTTTAATTTAAATTTTAATTATTCTTATAATTCAAATATTTGCTGTTAATAAAAAAATATAAAAGAGCTTTTAAAATATGCAAAAATTTTATAGAATTAATTATACAGAATTCATTTTATACTTTAAAATTAGGAGATAAATATCGTCATGACAATAATTTTCAACTTTAATATATATTTTGTTTACGCAATAGAATGCAAGTGACTGTAGATGGAGTATCTTCTGCAATCATTTTCTCTTTAGTAAAGGAATTTCCTTGCAAACGTACTAAAAACAAACAAAGGACATTCAGCATATACTAGTTAATTTTAAAATTACTGGTTACGTCGAATTCGGGAACGTCATGATTTAATTGGATTTAATTTCAAGATTTAAAACAGAATTTGTCATTTTCGTTTACTGGCCAAAATTTTTGTTAGAAAATTTTAACCAGCTAACGAACTTATTCGACACATGCAATATTTAGTTTAAAAATTTAGTAATATTCAATTTTTATTTTGTATTTAACTTCATAATAATTTTATAGATGGTACATATATTAGTATGTATTCATAATTATTGAAATTCAACAAAATATCTTTCGTTATGGTGCATCAAATATGTGGCCGTAAATATGTATTTTTTGGTTGTGAACATAAAAAAAACAAATTTTTGAAAAGAGTCGTTACGTTTTTTTAAAAAAAAACTACTTTGCACGTATACTGTTTGTTATTCTAAGCACGATAAGATTTTTAAACATACGCTTAGTTTTCAGTAGTTTCAAAATACCATCTTGCCTATTTAGTGTTATATGATAAAATATGATGAAGAGAAACAAAATAGTGTTAATAAAGAATGATCAAGCGGAGTAATGGATTGGCTTAAAATAAAATTTAGAAGAAATTTATATTGCCTGGTTTGTGCCCTCCATACAAATAAACCTCTTTTACAACAAAATTTTATGATTGAATAAAAGCTCTTGTTGAATTGGAAAAATATTAAATGATGCAACTGCTCTGGAAGTTAATCCATATTTTAAAATAATGATGTTGGTAACCTTCTTATTACTCTGAAGGATGAGGATCCTCCTCTGATCATTTTTATGGGTTCCTTCCATTAGATGTGGACTCAGAGACTTGACTTTGCCTGAAATTAGCCCAGTTAATCATTCCAGATGTTTATCATGCAACAACAATTAAAAAAATTATCAATTTATTGGATTATAGCAGATAGTCCAATTATCAATTGGACTATCTGCTATAAGCCTGTTCTTACATGTGATCTGACAACAGGAGTAAAACAAATAATATTTAAGCCTTTGAATCGGCCATTATGTGATGAACATTAGTTAAAAGTAATTAAAAGCAGAGCTAAACAGGTAATCGAAACAAACAGTATATTCTAATGAAAAAAGAGACGGTTTTATAGGTAAGCAGTACTTATCGAGACAGATGATGTCTAATAATCTGATTTTTAAAAAAATATGTGAACTTTAATTGCGTTCTTAAAAAATAAATTGATAAATTTTGCATTGAAAACAAAAAAGGTGCAAACATTAGTGGATTTCAGTAATTGATGTGCAAAAAAAGTTATGGAAAATCAATAATGAAACAAATTAAGAAAAAGAAAATTTATTTTTTAATCTTATAAAGTTTAAAAAATAAACTTTCCTTTTTTTCAGAAATAAGAAAGTTCTGATGTTCAAACGATAATTAGAGAAGGTATAAAGTAGAAGATTCATTATTTTTTAAATAATGATTGCCTGTAAATAACTATTAATATGTACAAGACATCAAACAAAATATTTACAATACTTATTTACTAAACTACATTATTATATTTAAAAATTAAAAGCAAATAAATATGACAAACTAAAATTTAATTGTTTTTTTTTAAATAAAAAAATTTAAAATTAAGGAATATAAAATATTCAAAAGTATTTAAAAAATACTGATTACATTTCTTGCGCCTTAAGTCAAACCTTTCATCTTAAGTAAAAACTTAGGTCCAGTCTAGTAACTACTTGGGCTGCCAAATGAAAACAACAACAACAACAACAACAACAACAACAACAACAAAAAAGAAATAAAAACAGTAAGAAAAACAGTAAAAAAAAATAACCTCTTGCAATCTTTTATGAAATTCTTCAATAACTTCATTTTCTTCTTTTTTCAAAAGAACTTTATAATTTCTTATCAATACAACATCGAGTTCTTCAATTGATAAAATTGGGACTGGGTCTAAGTTACCATTATTTACTAGCACAATAAGATACTCAATATAATGTTTTCTAAAAATAAAAAAATTTAGATTCAAAAATTTTTAATAAAAGATTTTCAAAGCTATTTAATTTATCTTTGAATTATTTACGTTTTATTGATTATAAATTTTAGCTTAGTCTTTTAGAAATAAAAAATTGAGATGAAAAAAATTAATAACTCGAAATAAAAACTGCTGGTTTTTTTGTAAAATTTTAGCACACAAAACAATCAGCTGTCTTGATTGACCAAAATTACCATTTTGATCTCTAAAGATTTCTTGCCATTTATGTTGTACAACATAATATAAAAAAGTTCAGACAAGAAACAACTTAAAATAATAGAGTTCAGACAGGAAATACATGCATCTCTGATATGTAATAACACAGATATGATCCTAGTAAGAAACTGACTAGCGATATTCGTAATAATAAAGATGGCAATTTGGCCAGGAGGAATACTAGCTAAATAAGCCTAACTAGCACGACTTGTAACAATAAAGACAACGATATGTTGTTATCTATACTATACTACTATTATTAGATATATTATACTATTACACATAGCATTAACTAATTTATGAACTGAATATCAGTAAATTAGTTAATATGTATAAATATAAACATACTAATATTTAAATGTAATATTTTTATAAATGTATGTAAATTATTTTATTGTAATTTTTTTATTTATCTTGTGAATGATTTATGATTACATAGTTTTAACACAAAAACTCTTCAGTGGTTCTCAACGACAAGACAGCTAAGGTTTTTTGTTAGGTGCCTCAAGAAGTCATTACAGTTTTATCACAGTACACTGCGGATGAGCATTTAATAGGAAGTTCATGCTTCTTTCTTAACCGATGTTGCAAAACTTACTTAGAGGTGGGGTTTGAACCACAGATCCTTTGTTTCTGAGGCAAGTGCACTACCACTGTGCCATGGTTGCTCTTAAAAACATAACAACTTTAAAAAAATTGGACATCATCAACCTTAAAAAAATCGGACATCATATTTGAGAAATGCATTAGGAAAAATATTACACCTAACAAAATACTAGTGATAAGGTTGAATGCAGGTTTAATAGTTGAAGTGTCTAGTTAGTTAATGAGCTCACACTGCATTAAAACAGATTTAAACATTTAAACAGAACACATACATACATAGAGTAACTTACCAGTGAGTAAACACTGTGCCAGAGGTTTAGACAGAACATAAACATAGATATAAACATAAATATACAGAACGCAAGCATATTGATAGCAACTTCCAGGTGAGTCAACATTGCGCCAGAGGTTCAGACAAGACACAAACATACAGATAAAGACTTACAGGTGGGTGAACATGATGCTAGAGGTTTAGATAGAACACAAAGATATAAAGTAGATTAAAGGTGAGCTAAAACAATAACTAAGGCACTTCAAACTATATCAAGGAAACACACACACAAAAAAAAAAAAATTTAATATATATGTATATATAACTATAGGCATGACCGATTTTAAATAGTACTGATGACAGGAAGCAAACTCCTTCCAGTCTTTACTTAGAAAGCAAATCCCGCAAGGCAGCAGGGCATGAAACAGGTTGCACTGGGTTACATGTTACCAGTAGCAGGTTGATCATGAAGACCATACACCTGACCTAATCTTAAATTCAACAAGTTAATGCGTTCTTTTACTACTTAAGTTTTTATATTTTTAATGTTAATTTTAATGTTAATTAACCTCCACAAGGCCATGAAAATCACTACAGTGAAGGAGGCTACTATAATTGTGGTTACAATCTTCTCTTAAATCTATAACTTCGAAACACAAACAATAATTTGAATAAAAATGACAATAATTTTTAAGGAAATATAATAATACTACTAATTTTTTTTTTTTATTGGTGTTATATGTTTTTTAAAAACTTTTTCAGTAGTTTTATCTAAAACAACCTTACTAATAGCTACAAAGCAACAATATGTAGTACTTTTTTTTAGGTATTAACTAAAAGTACTACATATTGTTTAGAGCTTTATTTTTGTCTACAATGACGTATTTCTGAAATGTAATAAAATGAACTAGTGTAAGTGTTACATACATCAGTTTTATTTATTAGGGTGAAGATAATTATATCAATGTATATAGCAGTTTCCATTTCCAGACATTTTTTTTTAAAAAGGCTGTTTTTTTTTAAACCATTTATTTAACCATAAAAATTTACAATAATAATTTATAAATTCACATAAACAAGGTTAGGTGTCACTCATATAGTTAAAAACTAGTCAATGGAGTGACAACTAGAAAAAAAAAAGAAAAACAACAACAAAAAAAAAAAACCTAACAATATCATGATACCTTTACTAAAAATTATAACAAATAATAAAAACTATGGTAAAAATAATTATAATAAAGTTTATAACTATGACAGAAATCATTAAAATAAACATAACAATTGCAAAAATTAGGACAATAATCATAAAACTGTTACTACAATTGAATCACTATCACTATCATTATAAATAATACTAATAAGAATACAACAAAGGTTAATTAATGATAATAGTAATATTAGTAGAGTTAAAAAAGACAGTATAAAATAAAAGTAATAATAGTTTTATAAATACAGTAATATATAAAAAGCAATAATAATAAAAGATAAAATTAATATTCATTAAATATATACTCAAATAAAAACTTCTTTATTCAGTTTTGATTGAGAAGAAGAATGTTGGTAATAAAAAGGTATTTAGTTAAAATATTTTTTTTTATAAATGGTATTATTTGGTTCCTGTGAGAAACACGTTGATGCTTTATAGAGAGCTTGCCATATTTGATAGTGTTGAAAAAGGAGGTGTGCAAGTTAAATTTTCAGTATTTCGAGTGTAATATTTGTGTGTATCACTTGTTTTAATAAAAAATTATTGAACAAATTTGGTAGTTTATTATGAAGAAAATTAAAAACAAAGAGACAATTATAAAGCTTTACAAGATCTTGAAATTTTATAATTTTTAATTCAGAAAACCTGTTTTCGATATTCAATTGTAAAGGAGAAAATGTCATAAATCTTAAGGAAATAGGTTGTAAACTGTTTATACGATGTAATAGAAAACTATCTTTTTGACCCCACACAGTACAACAATAACTTAGATGTGAGGAGAACAAGGAATAGTAAATTGGTATTAGAATATGTTGGGGAACACAGTGTCAGATTAATGATAGCTTACTATTGGCATGTGAGAGTTTTTTATTTAATTGAATTAGTTGATAGTACCATGATAGGTTTTTGTCAAGAAATACCCCGAGGTATTTTATATATTTAGACAGTAAAAGTCTTTTATCATTAATTCTAATTATCACATTATTATCAATCTTTTTTTTTGTAGGGTGAAAAATAATAAATTCAATTTTATTGATATTTAAGGAAAGATGGTTACTATTTAACTAATGACACAAATGATGGTGATCTGAATTAACTTTTTTACAAAGCTGCGCGAGTGATTTATTTATGCACAGAAGATTAGTGTCGTCAGCGAATTGATCAATCGAATTATTTGTAGAATGAGGCAGATTGTTAATATATATTAAAAACAGTAAAGGTCCTAGAATAGAACCCTATTCTAAATATTAAAAAAAGCTTCTTACTTTTAAACATCTCTTTAGTTTTTTATTTTTGGGATGATTATTGCTTAACTGTCTCTTTGTAGCTTCAGTTGAAAAACGTTTTCTATAGTATTTAACTACTTGGTAGAAAAGCCCACATTGACTGTCATTTTTGGTTAAAACTTCATTTAAGTCAGTGGCTAATTTAACTTGCTATTCTGCACAGTCATTAATCACTTTCATGGCACGAACTATCTTACATGCAGCCTTGTATTCATCACAAATACCACAAGTTTCTGGAGACAATGTGTTAATGTCTTAATCAACCAACAGTTCTGTTGGTTGATTAAGAGTTAAGCAAATTCATTTGTCGTTTAACAAATTTAGAGAATTTAGAGAAAGTATAAATCTTGTTTGGCATCTTGTTTGGAGTCACTGCTATATATACATTGATATAATTATCTTCACCCTAATAAGTAAAACTGATGTATGTAACACTGACATTAGTTCATTTTATTACATTTCAGAAATACATCATTAGAGACCAAAGTCTTTTTTTGTCACCTGGTATGGTTTTAATGTGAGGCATTTACAATTTCCACTTTTTCTTTAACATAAGTTTTATCACTAAATAATGGTAATACTGCTTGATCTTCAATTAAATACCATAACTGAGGTTTAATTTTATTTTTTTAACATTTGTAATTTTGCTGTCAATTCAACAAAATTTCTCGACTAACTTTAAAAGAAAGAAATCAGTTTTTTGGCACTTCTGTCGTAAAAGGAGGTAAAAACCAGTAATATTTAACTGATGAAGAAAACCAAAAATTTTAAAACAGTATATACCTTTACCAATCCATCTTGCACAATGGTAAGCCCCAGAAATGCAAACAGTTGTTGTACCATCATCTTCTCCCAAAAGGAGAAGTGTTAGTCTTCCAAATTCTTTAAAATCATCACATTATTGAGTACCCTTCAAGTATTTTTTTAATTTCTTTACCACGTTGTGTTTTCAAGATGCAAGCCATTTTAGTTGTTTTCAACAACTAAAACACAATGTTCTAGAACTTTTTAAAGTTTTTCAATAACTTGAGAAGGTATAAAGTAGAAGATTTATTTTTTTTGAAATAATGATTGTGAAATAATGACTGAAAATAACTATTATTTATGATAAATAACTATTAATATGTATAAGACATCAAATGAAAAGTTTTCAATATTTATTTACTAAATTACATTATTTACTTTGTCATGGTTGCACATGTAAGTTAAAAATGTTAAAAGCAAATAAACATGACTAATTAAAAAAAATATATAATTTTTAATTTTTTTTTTTTTTAGTCCCCACAAAAATTTACTAATGTTTAACAGAGTTATTATAATTAGAAACTACATTTTTTTAAAGCAAAAAAAACTTCACTATTTTCCCTTCCTATAACAAGTTACCTGAGGAAACTACTGTTTATGTTTAATTTGGAAATACTGGAGAGTCTTTACCAATAAAATTAGTCAAATCATTCACAGCCATTTCAGGCAGCAAAGGAAATATAGATTCAACGCACCTTTTTCTTATTAAGTTTATTTCATCCCATGTCACTTAAATATTAGGGATTGCCTCAGTGTGCACCACATGACTAGTGTGCACCGCATGACTAGTGTCAGAGCAGCAATAATTAAATAGTTAGTCTAATGTCGAGATAAAATTTAAATCAAAAGTAAAAGCACTTAGAAGCAAAAATTATAGGTACACTAAGTCACCATGAAATGTAAAAAAATACCACAAACTGAATAATTCTTAGTAGCTTAGGAGATTTGCTTCTTTCTTCTTGCTTTCTTGCTGGCTTCTTTCTTGTATAACATTACAAGTTGTATAGAGTTTTATAATAATTTTGACATTCGCATTGCAATGTGCATAAGACCTGGTCTAGTAAACCCAGAGACGCTTTGCCTAATACTTAAAGACAGCATTTTTAGAAAGTTAATTGAACAAGTTCTAGGTAATTCCCTCTGTTGAGATTGCATCTTTGAAAATACTGGTAAATAAATCATTCTTGGATATCAAATAAGGTGAAACTTGAAAAATAACAGTCTTCAATAGTTCAAGTAGATTATCAAAGATCAAGTCAGATCTTCATTGTTTTGCTCAAATCTGAAAACCAAACAATGTAGTGATTTTTTTAAATAATTTATTGTTATTATAATACTATTGTTGGTTTTAAGTAAGTAATTTTAAACAACCAAATATAAAATACCAATCAAATCAAATATAAACTACCAATCAAACCAAATCAAATAAAAACTACCAATCAAATCAAATCAAATATATTCTAATGGTATAAAGGCCAACTGATGCTATAAAAACTCATTCAAATCAAATCATATATATTCTGATGGAAAAAACGTCAACTAATGATATAAAAATTCATTCAAATTAAATCAAATATATTCTGATGGTATAAAGGCCAACTGATGGTATAAAAACTCATTCAAATCAAATCAAATATATTCTGATGGTATAAAGGTCAAATGATTGTATAAAAACTCATTCAAATCAAATCATGTATATTCTGATGGTATAAAGACCAATTGATGGTCATTCAAATCAAATCAAATATATTCTAATAGTATAAAGGCCAACTAATAATATAAAAATTCATTCAAATATATTTTGATGGTATAAAGGCCAACTGATGGTATAAAACTCGTCAAATCAAATGTATTCTGATGGTATAAAAGCTAATTGATGGTCTAAAAACATATTCAAATCAAACCAAATTTAATCTGAATAAAGTTGTTGCATCAAGGATATTTACAAATAGTAATAAGTATTAATATGAAGTAAACACTTGCCAAATTCAGTAATAATGAAAATAATAACTAAAATACTTATTATGATAAATAATAATATTTATTATGATAAAAATATAGTACTATATTTTTATCATATTAAATATATTACTCAATAATAACAATAATAGTGATGAAAAAAATACTAATGAAAATATTTCAGTTTAAGAATGATTAAAATAGTAAATTTAATATAAGATAATAAAAATAACACTATATTACAATAGAAAAATAAAATAAAATATGTGATGAATAGAAGCTTAGAGTAATAAATAATGTTGTAGAAAGGTTTAGGATTTATAAACAATTCTAAAAAATGATTAAAAAGAGCAGTTTTTAATATTTAAAAAAAGAAGAAATGGTTCCATATTTATATGCTTTTATTTGGATTCATAGCTGTAATGAACAGTTTGATATTTAGGTAAAGATAACTTAAAGTTGTAATGAACAGTTTGATATTTAGGTAAAGATAACTTAAAGTTGTAATGAACAGTTTGATATTTAGGTAAAGATAACTTAAAGTTGTAATGAACAGTTTGATATTTAGGTAAAGATAACTTAAAGTTGTAATGAACAGTTTGATATTTAGGTAAAGATAACTTAAAGTTGTAATGAACAGTTTGATATTTAGGTAAAGATAACTTAAAGTTGTAATGAACAGTTTGATATTTAGGTAAAGATAACTTAAAGTTGTAATGAACAGTTTGATATTTAGGTAAAGATAACTTAAAGTTGTAATGAACAGTTTGATATTTAGGTAAAGATAACTTAAAGTTGTAATGAACAGTTTGATATTTAGGTAAAGATAACTTAAAGTTGTAATGAACAGTTTGATATTTAGGTAAAGATAACTTAAAGTTGTAATGAACAGTTTGATATTTAGGTAAAGATAACTTAAAGTTGTAATGAACAGTTTGATATTTAGGTAAAGATAACTTAAAGTTGTAATGAACAGTTTGATATTTAGGTAAAGATAACTTAAAGTTGTAATGAACAGTTTGATATTTAGGTAAAGATAACTTAAAGTTGTAATGAACAGTTTGATATTTAGGTAAAGATAACTTAAAGTTGTAATGAACAGTTTGATATTTAGGTAAAGATAACTTAAAGTTGTAATGAACAGTTTGATATTTAGGTAAAGATAACTTAAAGTTGTAATGAACAGTTTGATATTTAGGTAAAGATAACTTAAAGTTGTAATGAACAGTTTGATATTTAGGTAAAGATAACTTAAAGTTGTAATGAACAGTTTGATATTTAGGTAAAGATAACTTAAAGTTGTAATGAACAGTTTGATATTTAGGTAAAGATAACTTAAAGTTGTAAACAGATCATAGAACATAATAACAATAATAAGATAATTACAAAAAACATATAATAACAATAAAATGTTTTATTAAATGTAAATTTTATTGCTTTAAACCAAATACCAATGCTACATAACCTTACATATAAATTGACAGGACCTATTGAAATTACTAAAAACTAATCTATGAGTGAGTTAGTATAGTCTCTCCTATACAATGTAGGCAAGCAAGCCAAAGAAGTGGTCTGTTCAAAATATTTTGCATCAAAATACTGCCTGCAATTATAGTCCTAGTGTTTGATGCTGTTGCATCAAAAAGTATGCATGCAAAACAATTTTTACAGTCTTCCAATAGTCAAGAAAAATTCAACAGACAACAGAACAAATTATTTAGGGGAATAAAGAAATAAGCGCATCTTAATCCTGTTTCTAACAGCTGTTTCAACAACTTTCTAGAATATCATGAATATTTAGAATCATGTAATATAAACACATTTTTTCAAGCATCTTTTATAAGAATGCTGTTTAGTTTTATAACCCCATCCATGTTTATTTGCACTATGATCAAGACAAACTCTCCTGTAAGGTTAAAGGAGACAGAAAAGTCATTTGTCTTCTTTTTTTTTTTTGTCTCCTTTAAGGTTTTCTTAGCAACTGTCTTGAAATTTTTTTCCACAAGGCATTGTATATTATTACAGTCAACTGAACCCAAGAATGCCTTATAATTAGTCATCATACTTATCAGAAATCAAAAAAGGATTTAGGTAAGCAATTTTTTTTTTAATTCTTTTTATGCCACTATATGTTAACCAAACTCAATTTGTGGAATGGTGTGAATGTAGAAAATGTAAGGTTATGTTATTTATACCACACATAGCCCAAAAATGTTACTATATTGCACCCATACTGTATAATAAATATTTATAAAATTTCCTAAAAATAAAACTTTGAATTTTAAAATAAATCTTAAACTTTTTGTAGAGAAATTTATATATTTATAATTTTATTATATTAGAATAGTTATGTTGGTGGTAATAGTTTTTTATGTTGAATATTTTTAGGCACTTTAATCATATTTTCAATTAAAAAAAAAAAATTTGACTCATAGATAGAGCATCACATATCACTGGTAACTACTCTAATACTTTACTGTTGTTGATAAAATCTCTCTGAGAGTTACCACAGAGTTTGGGAAACCCAACTGGGCTCAGAACCAACCATTAAACTAGATTTATTTATATCATTTAACTAAATTTATTTGTATCATACCATTATTGTATCATTCATTATCATGTCATGATTTATTTATATTATACCATTGATATCATTAAACTAAATTTAGAGCTCATTAGAAGAAACAGGAAGAGTTATATAGCTTCTATCAAGAAGGCAAAAAACCCATGAAGAGAGTCAATAAAGATCCAGCATTCTTCATCTGAGGCAGAAAAGGATGTAACACAAGTTACATTTTTTTTTTACTTACATCTATGCCAGATAAATAGATGTGAAAGAGCTTGAGGCTGGTCAACAGAATTATTCTGCTTAACCTTTTACCCTGCTGCTAAGTCTTTTTCTAATAGGCCTCCTACAAGACAGTATCTGGATACAGTTAAGATCTACTCAAGATTAATATTTTTTTTAAATAAAGACTAAAGACACCATCATCAACACCATCAGCCTTTACTCAACCATGTGTCTTAAGGCAAGAATATTTTTTGTCAGAGTAGAAAAGCCTTGAAAAGCAAATAAAAGGCAGCAGGACATGAGGCATATTGCACTGGATTGCAGTTTACTAATCATAATGAACCCATCATCTTCCAAGATTGCCAAGCATTTTTAAAATTTACCTAATTCTTTTAGGGGTAACCAGGCAACTCCAAAATTTAACAAGCAACTTTAAAAGTTACCACAACAAAAAAAATCACCAGGTACCCGGCACATCTATACATTTTACCAGAAGCAGGATGATCATGATGATCTTGAACCTAACCTGACCTGGAGTATTTAAAAGAAGTTACTTTTGTAAGCAGTACTCTAACATACTGAAAGGGAATATATGGATAAAGAAATAAAAAAAACTGTTAATTAAAAAAAAAGTAAAAAAATAAAAAAATTAATTACTTTACATATTTTTTACACACTTTAGATATTAATGCTTGTTTTACTTTTAAAAAATTTGTAAAAAACATAAACAAATTTAAAAAAGAAAAAACCACAAACTTGCAAAGTCCTGCCATATTATCAGGTGAGATTTTTCCACATGGTTTATATAGATTGTCTTCAGATATTGGTATTATACAACGATATGGGCCATTAACTTTAAAAAGATATCATTTTTACTTACTTAAAAAAAACTTATAAAAAATAATTTAAAAAATTAAATACTTTTGTCACCAGGTTTTCTTTGAACAGGCCTGTCCTTGTCAAATTCAATGTTATTATTTTCTAGAAAAGTTCTAAGTTCGTCCACAGATTTATCTCTCAAATAAAAATAACAGTCACGTGTGTGATGAGCATGAAAACCTTTGTTGGCGCACTCAGAATTAAATCGACATCTCTGTGGATAAAATAGCATTTTAAAGTTGTAAAATTCATTTAAAACCCTTAACTATCTTAAATATGCTCTTATAGATATTTTCTTATAATTAAAAAACTTTTTTTCTTTTTTATTTTCATAGAAGAACTTAAACTATAAATCAAGTTTTCTTTTAAAAGTTTCCTCATAAGAGTAAAATAAAAATAAATAAATAAAAAGAAGAGAAAAAGCAAACTAACCGCTCCTTTAAAAAAACCCATAAAACAACTGTTGCAAAATTCATAACCGCATTGAGTACAAGTAAAATGCATATAACCATCACATACAAGAATGTACTTGAAACGACATTTAGGACATTCTTTAAACAAAAAAAATTTTTTTAACAAACTTTATTTTAAAAAAGTTTTAAATTATTAAATAAATAAATAAATAAATATATATATATATATATATATATATATATATATATATATATATATATATATATATATATATATATATATATATATACACACACACACACACTATAGCATATATAGATAACAAACTGTTACTAGTGTTTCCTATCTTTATAGCATACAATGTTTTTTTAAAAAGAAGAAAAAAATAAATAATGAAAGAAAAGATTGCTGCCCCATGCCAAATCTTCAGTTCATGTTGTGGCACTCCTTTGCAGCAACAGGCTGTAGGACAGTCGATGTAAGTATTGACGCCTCCGGAAGTAGGCTATTTCAAGTACATGAACACGCATTCATAGTTATTTTATATATATATATACATATATATATATATATATATATATATATATATATATATATATATATATATATATATATATATATATATATATATATATATATATCACTTAACAAATGTTTTTTTATAACTGAAAGTAAGATGGTAAAAAAAAAAATGTTCTTTGTATATTGTTAAAAATTGGTAATTGCGACATGATTGGTTAAATTTCCTCTTCGGACATTATTGATACAAAAGTAGTTTCATAAAAGCCATAACATTTCAAGTATTAAAAAGATTTGAGAGAGAAAATAAGGAGTATTTTAAGAACATATAAATTACATAATAAAGTGTAGTTTAAGTCTAGTTAAGTAAATTTACACATAACAGCATTGATCTCTTTTTATTAATAAACCATAAAAACCTTTTAAACTACATTAATTTAGTTCAACATAACATTAATTGATAATTTTTAATTGACACTAATTATCGATAAACAAGTAATCCAGTAACAAGTAAGTAAATTAAGTCTTTTTCTATTTATTTTTTTTACCTAATTATTTATTTTTAATTTTTAGCTTTTCAGTCATGGCTAAAATTTCACCATGGAATTATTGTATCTGGATGCAAAATGGAAGTGCAGGTTAATGCAAGAAATGTTCAAAAAAAATTCAAGTTTCTAACAGCAGTATGACAGAGAGGTGTGTATGCACAGCTTTAAACACAACACAATATTAACCTTTTTAAAAGAGATGAATAAAAAAAAAATATGTCTACACTTATGAACCCAGATGAATCAAATAAAATTATGTCTACACTTATGAACCCAGATGAATCAAATAAAATTATGTCTACACTTATGAACCCAGATGAATCAAATAGAATTATGTATACACTACAGCAATGTAACACATCTACAGATTTTACAGTTCTAGAAGAAAAGCTTTGTAAAGTTGTTAAAATATTTTGCCTATTACCAACAAAAAATAAAATACTGCAGAAAAATATTAATGGGGAATTGAGTATGGAACTTTCACTAATTTTGGACACTGGAACCCATTGAAGTAGCCTACAAACAATGTCAGAGCGTTTTTATAAAGTTAGAAATCCTATACAAAAAATTAATAATTATTGATATTTAAATTAACTTATAGATATAGTCTTGTGTCATTATGTGTCAAGTGTTAAAGCAGAATTCGCTGCTGCGGTGCCACAAAAATAAGATTGCAATTAAATGATGTATAGATAATTATAGTATTATTATTACAGTAGTAATTAAGTAAAGTATAGATAATTTATGCTAATTATGATATTTTAGTATAAATATGCTTTTTGAATGTTTTTAAAAAGATAAGACATTGAAAATAAAGTGATTTTATTTTTAAAATAAACTAATTTTATTTTTATTATTTGTGTACTTTTATTATAATTGTATTTATTTTCAATATATTTTTACTACTAGTGTATTATTAAGTAGTTGTATTATTAACTAATGTTAAAATAGTGTATTATTAAAACACGTTTTCAATTTTTAAACTCTATATTAATATTGTGCATTTCATTTTTGAACTCTATATTAATATTGGGTGTTTTACATTATATACATATATATATATATATATATATATATATATATATATATATATATATATATATATATATATATATATATATATATACATACAAATATATATATATACATATATATACATACATACATACATATAAATATATATATATGTATACATTATATATATATATATATATATATATATATATATATATATACATATATATATATATATATATATATATATATATATATATATATATATATATATGTATATACATACAAATATATATATACATATATATACATACATACATACATATAAATATATATATATATATGTATACATTATATATATATATATATATATATATATATATATATATATATATATATATATATACATATATATATATATACATATATATATAAATACATATATATATATATATATATATATATATATATATATATATATATATATATATATATATATATATATATATATATATATATATATAATTATTATATTTACACTAATGTTTGGTTAATTGGTCATCAATTACATTAGTTAGATAAACTAAGCTGATTGCCCACAGTTTGTCCTACGTTTTTGAAAAGAACGTAATGTAATAACATGCCATAATGAAATTCGAAGGGCATCAGAAGAAAGTATAGAATCTCTATAAGAGGAAATTAGGGCATTCGCAAAGCATGTCTGTCTGACTGCATTTAATGTTTTAAATGCAGAAAGAAATTTTTTTGCTTCATTTCTAATTTTGGCATTTGCAAGTTCACATTGCCTCTATAAACCAAGTTGTACAAGCTGTTTGCCCACAGTTTGTCTTGTCCTAGGTCCTAGATTGCCTCTTTTATGACTTAAAGACACAAACACTTTCATAAAGCTATTCTAATACTATTGATGAGGTTTTACAAGTTTGATTTATTGCTAATGTTCCAACAACACAAAAAAGGAATGCTATTGCTAAACTAAAAGTATTGTATAATTTTTATGTTGAAATAGGAGAGAACAAGTCTCACAGAACTGTTAAACAGTTAAAATTAGAAAATGATTTGATAAACAAGTTGAATAAGATATTTCATGCGGGCCATGCAGATTGTGGCAGTTATAAAAATTCAACAAGATATAATGTTTTTACAAGACAAGATATAATGTTTTTACAAAGAGAAAAAAAGGAAAATGGTAATGGGTATGGAAGATTTAGAATTTAGAAAATGTGAACAAAAATGAGTGTATCAACATTTCCAAGAAGAGCATCGCAAAAAAAGGCAACTGAAGTAAACAAATATACTAAGACTGGATCGGTTAAAAAAAAATTCAGATTCAGAATATGAAGAATATGAAACTAGTGATGAGGAGCTATTTAGCAAGTATCATCAGCAAAAGACTAAAAAGATTATTAGAAAACCAGTTATTGAAACCACCCTATTGAAACTCTAACTAAACAAAATAAAAAATTAGCACCGAAGACACATAGTATTATTGATAGCTCATTATTTATTTCTAGTCTTGATTGTACAAAAACTACATCGGTATAGGCTATGCACATTATTGTGCCAATCCTCAAAGCTGTTAGGATTGACATAAAAGATACTCTATCTGTAAGTTCAATATACAGAGCTCATAAAACAGTCAGAAGATCTATAGCTCAAACATTCAAGAAACATTTGTGCCCAAATACCCCCTAATTGTCCATTTTGACAGTAAAATTCTACAAGACTAATACAGAAACCTGGCTGACAGAATGCCAATTGTTATATCAGGTTTAAATGTTGAAAAACTCTTGGCCATTTCTAAACTTTCTGTGGGTACTGGTGAGCTTATGGGAAACTCAGTTGTTTAAGTATTGAAAAAATGGAAAGATGTTCCAGATTTTTTTTTTTTTTTAAACATCTTTACTTTCAACGAGGCTGCAAGCAACCACTAATTAGTGTTGAAAGTTATTGAAAGAGAAAAGATGAAGATTGTAGAGCCAGATAACAATTGACAGACAACTTAAAAGATTGCAAATTATATGAATCAGGAAAGCAAGATGAAGGAAGCGAATTCCAAAGAACAGAAGTTTAAGGAAAAAAACTAGACAAATAAGAACTTTTGGAGCATTTAGAAACAGTCATTGAAAAAGGATGAGACTTAATTGAATTACGAGTAACACGAGAATGAATTTTAGTAGATGGCACAAGAGACGCTAGCTCTTTAGAGCAGTACCCATTATAGTATTTGTAGAAAAGAGAAAGTGAAGCAACATTACGAAGATGAAATAATAGTTGAAGGTTGGCTGCAAGAGCAGATCCAACTATGTTTACAATGTATTTTTGCACCTTGTCTAAAAGACAAAGGGCATCATTAGAAGATCTGCCCCCAGATATGGCAACAGTATTCTATACAAGGCCTGATTTGAGATTTAGAGAGATAGAGAATAGAATCCAGAGTAAGAAAGTGTCAAGCTCGATAAAGAGATGCAACTTTAGCAGATGCTAATTTTGCAACAGATTTGATATAAGGTTTCCTCGAAAGATCGGAAGTAAGAGTTAATCCTAGAAGATGAAGGGTAGATGACTCATCGAGTACATTACCGTTCATTAATATAGGAAGGTCTAAATTATTGCGATAACGATTGGCTGAAAAAAATTGAGTTTTATTTGAATTAAAGTTCACCAGCCACCATATATACATATATATATATATATATATATATATATATATATATATATATATATATATATATATATATATATATATATATATATACACTTGTGTTAAAAAGGTTAAAATATATAATAGGGAGGTAATCCACTATTATTCAGTGTGGTAGCCCTCTCAAAATAAATGGAATTTGATTATCAATTCCTAGAAAAGTCAAACTGGCCACCAATTTCAAGTGCATCTGCTGAGGTTACCAAAAACATGCACAAATGGTGCAGCAAAATATCATTGTTTCAGATCTTTTAAAGCGGATTAAAGCTCTTGAAGTTGAAAAAATAAATGCCTTAACAACAGCTACATCAAATAAACCCACAACAATATTCTC